AGTATTGTGGTAGTATTGTAGTATTGTAGTAGTAGTAGTACTACTACTACTACTACTACTACTACTACTACTACTACTACTACTACTACTACTACTACTACTACTACTACTACTACTACTACTACTAGTAGCAGGACTAGCAGTACTGCCAGTATCAGCAGTATCAGCATAGTCTCAGCAGTAGCATCCCTGATTCTGCTGCGTTTTGTAAACTCTTACACGATCAAACCTGTTCACAACAAGCAGGTGGATCAGCATGGCTGCTTCTGATATGCTCGCTCATGCGAAGTCTCACGAGATGTCACTGCTCCAGCTACCCCGCTCAATTATCGTCGCTCTCACAGCTCAACTAGGTCGACGGCGTAGGTCTGGGAAGTGCTTGGCGTGGTAAAGCTGTACAACACACCTGTCCAAGAGTCTCCGGAACTTTGCTTCAGGGTTTAAGGTAGGGCTTTAGGGTGTTCGGCATAGGATTGGCAGTCAGGGTTTTACGGTTTCAGGTATGCAGTCTGGCTAAGCAAGGGTAATTTTTACATCGAAACCACTGACCGCTCAAGTCGAAGGTCTCGAAATGTAAAAGCCTACACACCCTTGAAGGCTACATTTGCTACTCCGCAAGACGTAGCAACAAAAGGACGTTAGCATGAAATTGCAACTTCCAGCGGATTCCAGAGGTACTTTATCGGCACCATAGTCTTTCGCGTTTCCTCTTAGATCACTATCATCATGGCCATTATGAACAACAACACCTGATGCTCACAGTCACCATCGCCATCTTCGTCACCACCATCTGCAGCATCATCCTGGTTATCATCCTCATCATAATCAATGCTTTTAGGAGGCGAGCGCCGATCAGAAAACATCACAACATAAATAACAACGAACAGACCCAACATAGACAACCCAACTTTCGGGGTTGTAGAAAACGAGGAACCGGAAGGTAGACACCAAGTCGCAAGATGGTTACAATTGATTGGTGATACCCTTGCTACAATAAGCCGAATACCAAGGAACGCCTAAACCTTAAAGACCAAATCCGAGCCCTGAACCCAACACCCTAGACCCGAAATCTGAAACAGTATTCCAAAAACCTCAGCCCCAAACCCCTGAACCCTAAACTCTAAACCCGAAAACCTACAACCCCAAAACCTAAAACCCTAACTTACATAAGCTCTGAAGCCGCATCGCTCTCAAAACCTTACGAAAATCTGTAAGAAATCGGACAGACGCCTTACTAAATCACAAATCCTAACCTCAATCCCTCTACCTTCCAGATTTCAAGCCTTAAACCCTCAACCCTGTACTGTCCAGATTTTCCAAACCACCCCTAAACCCTAAAGTAAAAGCCAGAAAGTTGGAATATGCTTATCCTAAACCCTTTATGGTAAATTATAGGGTATCCTACCCTGAAACCATATTCCAACTTTCTGGAGTTCCCTGTAAAGCCAAGGGCCTGTGCGGCTCCTTACTGAGCCGGTCGGCCACGTCGCTCTCGCGCTGCGCTGCTTTGGCGAAGCCACGAGGAGGAACGGTCTGAGTCGTAAGGGTTTGTATTTTAGAGTTTTAGGGTTTAGGGTTTAGGGTTTGGGGTTCAGGGTTTGGGCTTTAGAGTTTAGGGGTTTAGGGGTTTAGGGTTTAGGGTTTTAGGGTTTAGGGTTGAAGGTTTGGGGTTTGGGGTTTAGGGTTTGGGCTTTAGGGTTTGGGGATTTATGCTTTGGGGTTTAGGATTTAGGGTTTACCCCAAGGGTCCAAAGGACCCAATAATTAGGTACTCGGTTTTCGGATAGCAGTTATGTAGGTTAGGATTTTGGTGAGTATATGATTGTTAGGTACTTGGACCCATGGGGTTCTGGTTTAAGCTTTGAGGCTCGTTCAGTGTATGGTTTTAGTTTTAGGGTTGAATTAGCAGTTAGGGTTTAAGGCTTTGCTGTTAGGGTTTGGGTTTAGGGTTTAGGGTTTGGGGTTCTTTTTCCGCATGGGGCAATGTCTGCTGCTTGGGGTCTAATGTTTTGGATTTCTGTTGCAGGATGGGCCCACTTATGCTTGCACTCACGGTGGCTGTGTCCACTCAACTCCTGTTCGGGCTGCGGCATTCTGGGGGGCTGCACATCTTCAGGCGGTCGAAAGGGCAGCAGAGCCCTACAATCAAGCTCCAGAATGTGCTGCAATTCCTGTTCCTTGAGGGTGCAGTCGGACATGTTTTCCTCTGTCTTGCTTCTGTAAACGTTGGCCATTCACTGCGGAGGAGTCTTTTTATCCTCCCGGCTTTCGTTAAGCCTTTGTACCGTACTCCACAGTTCTTCGATCGTCTGCCTTTCAGCTTGCGGTTTCTTCAGCATCAAGTCGCAGTGGTTGACCACAGCTATCGACTTGCAGTGGTCCGTGATGGTACATTTGAACGCATGACCATCACACATTTCTCCAAACAATCTCCACCATGATATCCATACTTTAGCACAGGAAGAAACAGATGCTTCAGTGTACAGAAAGAAGATAAAGAGGTGGGTGAGACCGGTACACATGTCAATCACAGAACACCAGCAGCCAGCTCCATGTGGCAGTTTCCGACAATAGGGGACCCTATTATAGTACCCTAGAGGATCCCAATTATAAGCACCCCAAAATAAGGTACCCCCTGATTTTGGGAAATTCCCATGTGCTCCAACTGACGCTAGAGGTAAGCCTTGAAGCTTTGGCGTTCAAAGTGTAAACGTCTCCCCCAAAAGCGGCTCGAAGCCTGGGGTTTTAGGGTCTACTTGGAGGCTCATGGGTGGCCAGAAGTGGGGTTATAAGTCCCCTCATATGGGTTACAGGTATAGCTACCCTACTTATAGGTCCACGTATAACTTCCCATGAGCCTCTAAGTAGGGTTGTGGGTTTCAGATTGGTAGTTTTCTGTTCTTTAGATTCTTTGCGGCTGCCAGCCTGCCCCGCGCCCGACTAGGGTATAGAGCTCATAGGGCTTGTGGAGTACCTACGCTGCAGCCCTTGCTGGCTTGAACGCCGTATATCCTACATGTCAGACCTGTACCGCCTGAGCCCGAAAACCCTGAACCCCACAGATCCCAAACTCTAGACTCTAGACCCTCAAAGGCTGCGCTGTCCTTTGAATGCCAAGAACATCCAAGCACTCAAACTCTGTTAGAGCGTGTGAGGTTTTCGAGGCCATAAATTGCTTTCAAATCTTGGATCCAAACTCTAGACTAGAAGAACCATCAAATCCCGAAACCCTAAACCCCGAACCCCCAAAACCCTAAACCGCTCAACTTCCTGCAGCCGGGTAACAACATTTTTGACCTCAGCCGAACGCAGTGCTCAGTTACAGGGTGCCGAAACCCTTATTAATTACGGCTTAGGGTTTACCCTAAACCCCGAACCCCACAGTCTAAACCCAAAACCCCTAAACGCCAAACCCCAACACCCCGAAGTTCTAAAGAAACGAACAAAAGCCTCATCAATATAGTGGCTATCACTTTGATGAAGAAACGCAAGGAATAACTTTGATGAAAAACCGCAAGGAATGGTATTGGTACATCTTCAAGATTCAAGCTTCATTAACTCAAACGTTCTAGTTGACCCTAAACCCCAAACCGTAAATCGCAACCCTTGAACATCTGTTGAAGGAACCCGTTAAAGGAACCCCAAAGCCACAGTCGAATTACTGAGACCAGAGATTGAACCCGCCACCCAAAGCCAAACAATCTCCTTGAAGATCCGCGCCTGGTGTCGTTAACATTCTTGGGTCGATTTAGGGTTTACAGTTTAGAGTTTAGCTTTTTTTGGTGTTTAAGGGGTTTACCCCATGGGTCCAAGTACCTGATAATCATATACTCATCGAAATCCTAATCCTAACTTACATAACTACTATCCTAAAACCGAGTACCTAGTTATTGGGTCCTGTGGACCCTTGGGGTTAGGGTGTTTCGGGTTTAGGGGTTTAGGGTGATATGATGGAGCTTACGTCTTGAAATCCCGGAGTGAAGGGGCGTCTGTGACCTCCAGGAGTTGAGGGCTCGGGTTGCTCAGAGATCACACGATCCCTTAATTAAGGAATGTACCTTAAATTATACAGGCCTTAATATTCTGATTTAAGGTATATTCCTTGATCAAGGGGTATTGGGATCTCTGGGTGAAGAGTCCTGGGTGCTGAGGAGCCTAGGAAAGACTTTGATTTGACACCCTAAACCCCCAAACCCCTAAAGCTCTAAAACCCCTACACGCCCGAACCCTTAAAACCCTGCCTACACCCCCAAACCCCCAAACCGAAAATCCCTAAAACCCCTGCCTAAGCTCCTAAACCCCTGCACCCCTAAAACCCCTAAACGCTTAAAGCCTAAACCCCTTAAAACCCCCAGACCCCTAAACCCCACGCGAGATCGAACCAGAGCTCGACCCCATGCTAAAGCCTGAGGACCAAAGGGCCAAAAACCCCGAGCTGTGGCTCAACCAAGAGTTTAGGGTTAGGATTTAGGGGGTGAGGTGTTTAAGGGTTTTGTTGTTTATGGTTTAGGGTTTAGGGTTTTGAGCTGTGGCTCAGCCAAGGGGCGGCGTAAGAGCGACCGGTGTGCGCATCCTGCGCGGAGGATCGCTGGCGGCTACGAGCACAGAACTTAAGGTTGGCTTGGACGCTGGCGGTGTTGAGTCTGGCTCCCATGCATAATATAGGGGCCTTAATAATCAGAATAGGGTTTTGGGGCCCATTACACTATATTTATAATAAACAGCCCTCAAAATAGTATTGGTAGTTATTTAGGCCCCTATAGTATGCTACTAGCGGGTGCGTTGCAGGTGGAAAGGTTGAAATCTGCTACTCGTAATTGCCAAAACCAGCACCTGCTGCGAGCTGCCAGGACTTTTCCGCGCGTGGCTGCTCTAGCACCGGTCCAAGCGTTCACTCAAGACGACAAAACCAGGCAACTGCAGCTAAGGTCTAATTATAATTATAATACTAAATGCACCTGCATGCATTGTCCCATTGCCCCGCAGGCAGCGGCTTGACATCATGCTTCCGACGCAGGTTCTGAGGAGATGCACCCTGGCTTCTTAGAAACAGCCTGCAGTTCGCCGTCAAGCAAGAGGACCGGTGCTGTAACACTCAACAGAACTGGCGTCATAAAGCGGTTCAGAGCAAGCACGACCAGCTCCTTTCTCGTGTACGGATTGATGATGCCTGGTGGCGTGCATGGCAAGCGCAGGACATGTGACGGCGAGCTTTCTTCCTGAGGCACCGAGCCTTGGCCACGAAGTGCCACAGCATCCGTCTCGCCGGCAGACTCGTCCTCCGCAGGCAAAACTCTTGATCGGTCTTCCTCTTGGATGCCTTCCGATGAGCCAATCCGTCCAGAGGAAAATGCGTCAGAAAGCTCATTCAACACACCTGCCTTGAGCATGTGTGCGAAGCAGCAGTCTGAATCTTGTGCGGGGATGCCATCGTGCCGCTCGCCTTCCTCATCTTCCTGAACATGCTGCGAGAGCTCTGCCAACACCAAGAACATGCTCGTTGCTGCCACCAACTTGCTCAAAATCGCGGCTGCAAGCGGGCTGTTTCCGGAAGTCTGGAAGGTTGCCGAATCGACGCCATCGTCACGCGGCTCAGGCTGGAGGTAATGCAGGATCACTGTCTTGAGAAGCGGCCTGTTCCACTCGATGGGATTCCGGAGCTTGGCATAGTGTGAATCTTTGGGCGCATACACCACCCGGATGTTTCCGGTATCGTGACAAACTTGCAGGTGGCTGAACTTTGCACTGTTCACCTCAAGCTTCCAAGCGAGTTGATGCATGCCAGCCTCGTCATTGAAGAACTCGGAAAAGCCTTCAACTCGCTGGCACTGAACCACACCTGCCAGGCAGAATTGCGATCGAAGGAAGGGAAGAATGCTAGGAGCATCAAGGTTGAGAATGTCCTGTCGACTGAGGTCACTGGTACCGTACCATGGCAACCACTCGAACCTCAGGGCTTCGTCGACCACTTCCTGCGCAAGCTTCATGATCTCCGATAGCAACCAACCTACGACTTCGGCAAGCTGCCCAGCTGCATTCTGACGAAGAACTCGTTCAGCAAAATCTGCAAAGGATTGGCCAGCAAGATTGCGAAGTTCCTCGTGCCTGCTCTCATGGGGCATTCCAGGGTCTTCCGTCATCCACTGCACTACCATGACCACAAGGGTGCACACCATGTCATGCTTCCCAGCTGATGTCAGGAAAGTCTGCAGGAACTTGGGGGCCTCGACCAAACTCCACAACCAGCGCACGTCACCGTCACATTTGTCCAGCATCGCCCTGTCACGAAAGAGCAGCTCGAAGCCTTTGCTGGAGACCAGCTGGAGAACGCAAGCGGCAACAAGGCATGCCATGCGCTCGCTGCAGTTGTTGCTTGACCTGAGAGACTCGTTCAGAAGATGACAAATGGGCAGCTGATTGAAGGAGAGCTCTTGGTCGCGGCGAACTGTCCACAGGCTGGAGCCTGGTACTTGTGAATGGCCGGGAGGCGAGTGCCCGGAGAGAAGATTCCTGGGTTCTTGTTGAGGAGTTTGACTTTATGACCATATTATGGGGGAAGTAGAGTAATAGTATATCAGTAAAAAACAGGGTTTCGTTCCTATGGTAATTCCACCTAAGTTCCTCAACCAGAACCAAGATTCACCAAGTTCCTCTCCATGGGACCATCGAAGTCGACAGCCGGAAAGCGAAGGCCCAGGTACTTCTTGAGCGGAGGGGACACCATGTCTTGCTTCTTTTCCTTCCTCCACGGCTCTGGGTTTTCCTCTGGAAGGCTATCGGTGCTGAAATCCGGGCAGTACTTCGTGCGAAGCATTCCTCCACGTCGTCCCTGCTCTTGCTGTGTGATGCGCAAGGTTACCAAGACATCACTCCAACCACAACCCTCCTCTTTCCTCTGCAGAACTCTGTGGATTTCGCACACATCGAAGACTAGGTCCAAGGAATTGCGTAGCTCCATCCGCGACTTGCTGAAGAGTGTTTCGGTGATCAGAAGCAGGCACCTTGGTGGCAGCCTATTTTGATCTCTCTCGGTTCTGCCATGTAAGCATTTCGTCTTGACTCCCGCTTCTTTCAAAGCACTTTCATTGGCGCTTCGGACACTGCGCATGTCGTTGGAGCCACCAACCACAAGTGCCACACGCCCTGGCCAATCCTCGAGGTAGGTCTGTCTGATTTTCCATGCCGTTCGGTGGCCTGCGTCATCATCATCAAACCTCCGCAGCCCTGTAAGCAAGAAGGACCGCGTAAACTGGGTCAGGGATGCCGATGTTTGGGTGACCGACATGGATGGCCACCAGGTTCTACGCGAGGTGCAGTGCAAAATTAACAAACACTGCGAAAGAGAGGCCATCATGTGCCATCAAAAGTCCCCATCCAATGACCCGACTTGTGCCATAAATGAAGGAAGTATAATTCAGCATAAGCAGTATAATCTTGGATCAGGCTTGGGTTCAAGGTTCGAGGTTTTTGCAGAGGTTGTATGTTGTCTGCCCTCAGCTTTGCAGCCCTGAACCTTAAGCCCTCAAGCCTAAACCATGATGATTAAATGCTAAGCGCTAAGCCGCCCCTATCTACATCACCCTTAGGCCCCCACATATCCTGCCAGTCGTCTCAACCCCTCAATTCTCTCCTTCAAGAACCAAGTGCCAAAGAATGCTCAGACAACACACATAGGGGCCTTAATAAGTAGAATAGGGCTTTGGGGTACATTACAACACAGTTGTCCCAGAACTATAAGTGTTTACTGGTACTTTAGGCCTCCATGATGCGAATTGGAGCAGACTAATAAATACATGCACCGCAAGCCTTGGCACGCCAGACCGTGCCGAAGGATCCCCGGCCGAGCACCGCCGTCTCCGGGATGTGCATGAGCCTTGGGAAATCAGCTCCAGCTTGAGGGTTTAGGGTTTAAGGTTAAGGGTACAAGGTTTAGGGTTTAAGGCTTAAGGTTTAAGGTATAGGGCTTAGGGTTTCAGGTTTAAGGTTTAGGGTTTAGGGAGGCTTTAAGGAGTTTAAAACTAGTTCAACGATTACTGACAAGGGTGCCCTCTAAGGATTCGTTTAAGGGGTGCTTCTGTTGATGATATAAATCCTGCATGACCCATAATAAGGAACACACCATAATTCCCATATATTCCTTATTATGGGTAATGCTGGATTTATATCATCAACCGTTTCAAGGGTCCTTGTGGGGCCTCTGTCCTTTAAGGCTTCTCGCTGCACGCTCAGCCTTCCTCTGAGGTCTGAAACCCAAAAGCTATATACTTGGAGGATCCTTAAAGGGATCTATAGGGGTCCTTAAAGGGATATATGTGGTTTAGGGTTTAGGGTCTACTTGGAGGATCAGGGGACTTAGTAAGTAAGGTTATAAGTACCCTAACTGGGGTTATAAGAAATTATAAGTACAGTTACCTTGTATATAAACCTAGTTACTAAGTCCCATGATCCTCTAAGTAGGGCTTAGGCTTTACAGGCTTTAGGGGTTTAGGGTTAGGCCAGCCTTAAGGCTTCCTGCTTGGACGAACCCCTCAGATACAAACCTTGAACCCCAAGCCCTTTAGGGTTTAGGGTTTAGGTTTAGGGTCTTGTTTGCTGCCCTGAAGAGGAAACTAAACCAAAGTCCGAAGGCCCCAAAACCCCCAAATCCCGAAACCTGCCCGTGGAGCCCTTAAAGGAACCCGTACACGAGCAGCTGCCGGACTTTTGATTATGAAAAAACTTGTCCCACTTGCCTGGTGGCGCCTGCGCTGTTTAAAAGGATATCCACAAGTGGGGCTTTGTGGATTTGTTGGGGTGCCGTTTCGAAACCCTAAACCCTAAACCCTTCAGGACTTAGGATGTTTTGGGGTTAAGGGCTCAGGGTTCGGGTTTCAACAGCACTTGGGCTAGCAGCCTCAAAACAAACTCCTCGATCCTGAACCCTGCATCCTAAGCCCTACTTTGAACTACCGCAACCAAATTACAGTTTCGGTCCGTGTGTATTCCACCTTGGGGCTAGTCGCAACCTACAAGAAAGTCGGCGGTGTTAGTTTGATGTAAATCTACGGGTCTGGAATTAGTTTGGTAATTTTTATTTTTTTTTTTTTGTGGTTTGCTTGGCCGTGTTGCATTGCCCTGCAGGGCAGCATCCTCGGGCGTTCAAACGCGAGGTAAAGTTACACATTTTGCGGGCGCCGCGCAACCCTTCACAGGGTTTGGGTGCATTGAGCTGCATTTTGCAACCCTTCACAGGGATTGGCATTTTGCAACCCTTCACAGGGATTGGCATGGTCGAATGCACGAACGCTAGGTAAAGTTGCATTTTTTTATGTGCATTGAAATGAATTTTGCAACCCTTCACAGGGATTGGCGTGGTCGAGTGTTCGAACGCGAGGTAAAGTTGCAATTTTTTATGTGCATTGAGATGAATTTTGCAACCCTTCACAGGGATTGGCGTGGTCGAGTGTTCGAACGCGAAGGCAAAGTTGCATTTTTTGATGTGCATTGAGATGAATTTTGCAACCCTTCACAGGGATTGGCGTGGTCGAGTGTTCGAACGCGAGGTAAAGTTGCAATTTTTGATGTGCATTGACAAATGAATTTTGCAACCCTTCACACAGATTGGCGTTGTCGAGTGTTCGAACGCGAGGTAAAATTATTACTTTTGATGTGCATTGAGGTGAAACTTGCAACCCTTCACAGAGATTGGCGTTGTCGAGTGTTCGAACTAGTACTAGTACTACTACTACCACCACCACTACTACAACTATTATTACTACTACTACTGCTACTACTACCACTACTACAAAAGAATACTACTACTACTACTACTACCACTACTACTACCACTACTACTGCTACTGCTACTACTGCCACTACTACTACTACTTTATTACTACTACTACTACTACTACTACTACTACTACTACTAGTAGCACAACAACAACTACAACTACTACTACTACTACTACTACGACTACGACTGCGACTATGCGACGACGACTACTACTACAACTACTACGACTACCACTACTATCACAACTACTAGTACTGGTACTGCTAGTACTACTAGTACTACTACTACTACTACTGCTGCGACATAAAGTGACCATGCATAGAGTCATAGAGTCACGTTGAAACCACAGTAACAGGGATGTCTATATAGTGAGGTTCCGGAGCCAGGAAAGGAAGACTTCTGCGTCATGTTGGACTATACCCTAAACCCGCTAAACCTGAACATTAGTGTTCATAGAGTGAACTACATCAAGTCAAGTGCGTGGTACATAGATGACTCCATGACTCTATGACTCTTTCTCACTCTGACGCTATGACTCTATAACACTATGACTCTATGATTCTGTCTCACTGTGACTCTATGACTCTATATGACTCTATGACTCTTTGAACTATGACTTGTGCTTGACATGTACTCGCCTCTATTTCTCGATGACTCTATGAACTATGACTTGTACGACTCTTGACTGTATGTGACACTCCGACTCTGTGACTCCGTGCTTTTGACTCGGTGACTCTATGACCCTATACACTGGATTCTATGACGTAGCGCAACACTCTTCGCTGATGATGCTTTCGGGCCAATTGTCTTCTAGTTTTCCAACTTTGCTTTTTTATTATGGACTTCTTTCTTTCTTTCGCTCGTTCATTTCTTTTCTTTCTTTCTGTTGTTCTTTCTTTGTTCATCTCATACTCCCTTCCTTTCTTTCTTGCTTTCCTTTCTGGTTTGATTTATTTCGTTCTTTCTTTGGTCCGTTCTTTCTTTCGTTCTTGCTTTCGTTCTTTCTTTCGTTTTTGCTTTCGTTCTTTCGTTCTCTCTCTCGTTCTATCTTTCTTTCTTTCTGTTTTCCTTGTTTTCGTCCTCTTTAGATACAGCAATTTTTGAATTTTTCCCAGGGTAAACACTGTTTTCATACGGATTCGTTTTCATTTCCTGAGGATTTGCTTGGTTTCTGGTTCGGGAAAACACGATTTTCCTACGGATTCCGTGGTATTTCCTTAAGTTTCTTTCTTTAGTTCTTGCTTTCGTTCTTCCTCTTGTTTTGCTTTCGTTCTTTCGTTCTCTCTCTCGTTTTTTCTTTCTTTCTGTCTTTCTTTCTTGCTTTTTAGATACAGCAATTCTTGAATTTTTCCAAGGGAAACACTGCTTTCCTAGGGATTTTCTTTCGTTTCCTAAGGATTTGCTTGGTTTTTCTTGGGGAAAACACGATTTTCCTACGGATCCCGTGGTATTTCTCTAAGTTGTCAACTCTCTTTGGTTCTTTCCTTGTGTTTTCTTTTTTCTTTCCTTGTAGCTTTCTTTCTTTACTTAGTTCTCTATTTTTGTTTTCTTTCTTTACTTATAGCTTTCTTTATTTACTTATTTCTCTGTTTCTTGCATGGCTTTCTTTCTTTCGTTGTTTCTTTATTTCTTTCTTTTGTTATTTCTTTCTTTCGTTGTTTCTTTATTTCTTTATTTCGTTCTTTCTTTCGTTGTTTCTTTATTTCTTTCTTTTGTTATTTCTTTCTTTCGTTGTTTCTTTCTTTCCTTCTCTCTCTCTCTGTCTCTCTGTCTTTCGTTCCTTTTTCCCCTTCCTTTCGCGGATACCCGTCTAATTTTTTTGATTCTTATTTAATTTTTTTTGATCCTTATTTAATTTTTTGATCCTTATTTAATTTTTTTTAACTTCTATCCCGCTTTACTGACCTAAATTCGCCTCGGCTCGGCTTAGGGTTGAGGGCGTGACTTAAGGACTGATTTATGAGGCTCTCTATGCCGAAGAAAAAGCCAAGAAGCCGAAAAGCCAAGAAGCCAGAAGCCAAGAAGCCAGGGAGAATCAAAGCAACCCTGCACGGCTTAAAACAGCGGGGGGGTTGGGGGGGGCGCAGCCCCCCCCATTTGCAGAGACAACGTTCACATGATGGGCCGAAAACACTCTTTGAATCAAGCTTGCACGTCTCGAAAAGCGCGGCGGCGGGTGTTTTGTTCTTCCGTGCCTGTTCGTGTCTCTTCTTCCGCTAGCATTCTAACCTAATATATATAACATAGTAAACCAGAAGAACGACATAAGATGGTTCGACAACACAAAAATGGTGTGACATTTTCTGACATAACAGAACCTTGCTTCTTATAGCATATAATAGCATACTAAAAATACAACAATACAATATAACAGAAGATGACATAGAACAAAACAACATCTTAGTTTATAGTGTAGTACGTTGTAACATAGTACAGTACAGTGTGTATATTTACAACATAATATGTAGCATATTTTATAGGTTACATTTACATTATGTTATATTCTGTTACGGTACATTACGATATTATGGTAAATTCGAGTGGGCTATGTAGTATCCTGTTGCTTGTATCTTTGTTTC